TACTTTAAGGGCATTGTTTATTATAACATTTGAGCAGCATTAATCAGCATTCATTATACACGTCATGACTCTCAAACTTATCTTCCAAGATCTTCTAAGAAAAATCTAAAACTTCTCATTTTGTTGATCATGAGGTAGAGAGAAAACAAGACCTATTATAATTCACTTGGGGCTTCACAGCATGGCAATATGAAGACAGAAATAAAAACCTCTTTTTGATTCTTGGGTCTACAGATTCTGTACCTTCTTGCCTAACTCAGTGTTCTAGGTTGCATAATGTCTCCTCAAAATTCATGTCCTGCCCAGAACCTCAGAATATGACCTTATTTGGAAACAAGGTCTTTGCAGATGTAGTTAAAATGACGTCATATTGGAGTAGGGTGGGCCCTAAATCCAACATGACTGACGTCCTCATAAGAGGAGAGGAGACACAGAGACAAAGGCACACAAGTGGAGAAGGCCGTTTGACAACAAAGGAAGAGACTGGAACGATGCCTCTATAAGCCAAGGAATGCCAAAGATTTCTGATAACACCAGAAGCTAAGAGAAAGGCATGGGACAGATTCTCCCCCTGGAGACTTTAGACAGAATGCCGTGCTGCCAACACGCATTTTGGACTCATAGCCTGCAGCACTGTGAGAGAATAAATTTATGTGGCCACAGGAAACTAATACACCCAACCTCCCTTCTGGACCGCAGCTGTAGTAGAGCACTGGTGCAAGAGTCCCTGAACCAAGCTGCAGTTGCTAATTCTCCACGGGGGCCTCATTCCCTGAACAGTTGAGGTGAGCAGAATGTGAATGAGACGTCCCTGGGAGCCTCGAAAGCCGAGTTCAGATGATTTTGTTTTTCCTATGAAATTCATCTCTATCAAACCACATTCAACAGCTTAAGGGCTTAGTTCCAACGTTTATGTTTTCTAATCTAGGCCTTTTTGAAATACTGTTAAACGTTGCTTTGCAGGATTTTTAGAGTGCTTGCCGGGACACCTGTGAGTGGTGAGGAACGCAGAATCAGGCAGAGAAGGAAGTTGAATGGCAACACAATTGCACCAGAGACTCCAGCCAACACTATAGGGAGCTGTGGAGCTGGAATGGCCTTCTGCAGTTTTCCCAACTGAGACTAGGAGGTCAGGCCCTTGGACCCGCACATGGACGAGCCGTCAGATACAAGCTGCTTGCGTGGAGGAGCCATAGCTTTGCTCAAGGCAGCTTCCATCAGCTACAGACAATTTCTGGTGATGGACACAGCTCTGAGCAGCTGGGAAAATGAGTGCCTGGGTCCTGAAGAGGGATCTAGAAGGTGCATTGCTGCATCTCCCATGTGTACGGTGGAAGTCTTTCTGTCTAATCATCATCTGTTATTAGAATGTGGCCACGTGAGATTCTACACCTGGACTAGAATTGCCTTACTCTGGGAAAGAATCCATTAGATGCTCTCAAATCATATATATAGTGACAAGTCAGAGAGGTCTCAGCATTGCATTCTTATGCATTTCCCTCTGTCATCCACACATTTTCCATTTCCCCCCTTTGCAACGACGCTTAAAATCTCCATTTTAGAATGGCTTCTAATCACATTTGGACCATGATGATTTCTTCTCCTTTTCTAGTTATCCATGGACAGAGAGGATAATCATCTGACTCTCCCTGGAAATCACCATTCATTCATTTGTTCATTTAACTTAATTTATTCATTCATGCATCAGTTATCATGTACTTTTAATACCTCCTTTATACTAAACTAGGTATTGAATATAAAAAAGAACAAATGAGATTGTAAAAGGCCTTACATGTCACAATAAGGAGTTGGATTTTCTCTACATGTAATGAAGACACTTGGAAGGATTACGGGCAGTACTGTGACTTGAATAGCTTTGGGTTATTGAAAGATCCCTCTGTTGTGGTGGGAAGGATGGATTGCTGAGGATCCACAATCCAAGGGAGGCAGTTTGCAGGTAGGGAATTTAAATACCTGTTGAGTCACTCTTCAAACCTCAGCTGAGTCACCCATCTTCAGCCCTTTCTCTGACTCAGAACCAATTTACCATCCCACAAGTCAGCAGCATTGCCAAGGAGCATGTCAACAGCCTGCTTGGGTGGGAGTATTCACATGATCCTCCTAAGCCACAAGCAGCGCACAGGGCCCAGTCACATGCCTTTGTATGTGCAAACACACCATGTACGTGACCCCAGGTCACAAGCACTCAGTGTGAAGCACACATCTGTCCACATAGACAGGACGCCTCTAAAAAATGAGCCCCCAAAGGATGCATCATTGCATTTTGGCTTTCTCCCTCAATAGCCTCAATAGCTTTGGGGCAGTCCCTAATAAGGAAAGGAAATCTCTCATTGGGTGTGACTTGCATATTAAATACAAATTATGGCTCTAAGCATATAACCTAGCAGCAAAGACTATATCCCAAAGAAACAAAAGCAGGAGAAATTTTTTTAAAATTAGCCAACTATAGACTGGAAAATAGAAGAGAAAAATATCATATTATTAATAATAATTTGAAGGTAATGGTGTGTGTTCTTTAATGCAGTTCCAACATAAATGTCACTGTAAGAAATGATATTTCATTTCAATACTAACAAATCAGGTACTTAGTGTGCAGGGGGAGAAATGATTGGAACTACTTGAAAGCCATGTTAACCAGAGAAACTGCAAAAATATTTATATTCTTATGAAGGAAGGAAGGAATGCCCCTCGTGGGTGTATTTAAGTATCCTCCATCTTTTGGATAAATGGTAATGCTAAACAAAAACTGGAAAGATGACCTTAGAATAATAACCTCAGGACCCAACTGGGATTCAGCTTCTCATTGTACAAAAATCATTTGCAATATGTTCAGGATGGAAACTTCTATACTGCTTTATAGCTCATAGACCTCACTATCTACCTCAAACGAAAATCCAAAACACCCAACTCTGGGCTGGCTTCCTTCCCCTGGGGTGGGCTCCCCCCCATATGTAAAATTACTCCCCATCCTCTTGCTCACTGTCTGCAATTCTGCTCATTTACTCAACAGTGTTTGTAAGGACAGAAAAACAAAGAGAAGAAGAAAAACCATCCATTTGGAGAGGCGTTTTATATAGAGAATGGGATTGTTAAAGCAAAACCAGGTCTGGCACCATCATGGCTTTCTCAAGCCAGTCCTTCCCCATACTTTCTTACAGAGAGCCCATGCAAAGGTCACGTGGAAAATTTCACAGGGCAAATGCTGGGCTGATATCTGAAAGCCATCCTATAGGGCAAGCCTCTTTCATTCTTTGTCATTTTCAGCAGCCACTGTGTAAGCTACATGGATGATGGAGAATTGGTGAGGGCCTGAACCTATGAGTCATTTACTTTCCAAACAACAGCTCCAAAGGACTTTGAGTTTCCAGTTGATTTATCATGAATGGCACTGATACTTATGTGACCAGAAGCTGTTAACCTGAATTGGTGCTTGGAGAAACGAAGTCAATGAAAGTCACCAACCCAATAAATCTGTGAGGGATGCATGGAGTTATCTTTTCAACATGTGACTGGCCACTTTCCATCAAGAAGCACACAGCTAGAAAGGCACAAGTCTATATCCACAAGGCCTTAGAGTCACATTTTAAGCTATTTTTTCCAATCCTCTGGGTTTTGAATGCCAAGAGAGTGAACAGATTCCCAATGATATAACCTCCAAGTACATTCATAGATGCATTCTCTTTTGGACTCTACAAAAATCTTCTGTATTTGAGAGGAGGGGAATCCTTATTACGATGCCCATTTAATATACACAACATATAGGTTCATAGAGGTATCTTTGGAACTGCTGGTAAATGGAAGAGTGAGGCCTTTTCCTGCCCGATCCCATACCCCTCCAACCATCTCACTCTTCTTATTCTGCATCAACATTAATGTGGGTAAATAAGGATTAATTCAGCCCAATAGGTTATTAATTCAATAATAAAACAATTGTTTCAAGCAACTGTTTAGACTAACTGGCTATTCAACAGAATTAATGGGTAAAAATGGGTGGTTCAGTAGCCCTGTGTCAAAAAAAATCTTTGGCCACGTGGGAAGTTAGATAATGCTCATCACATGTCACTCCTTGTATGCCCTTTGATAGCTAACAGATTTCTACAAGCACAGGACTGTGTAGATGCCAAGTGCTTCCTGGCTGTTCAAGGAGAGAATCAAAGCCAACACAAGGAGCTTTAATGCTGGTGAGGTCCAGGTATTCTCGGGGTTGAATGGAAGTCACCAAGGAGTAGTCTGTCAGCTTGCCTAACAAATTTAAAAGAGTCTATTACCCTGGCACTGTCACAATGTCCCTTATTTATGTTCCTCTAGTGGGGGAGTGGGAAGAGCAGCTAGAACAGCCTGCTGTAGCAGCTATCCAGCTGCTCATGCAGTTAATATAGCTGTAGAAAGAATGTGATTTATAGGAGTCCTTTCCCTCAACATGAGAGCATGAATCTTAGACCCACTCATCTTAGGGAGACCCACGTCATGCACACACTTCTATGTGCTCTGGTGACAGCAAGATAACAGAGAGCTTCTGATTTAGATAAGCACAGAAGACGGAGAAACACAATACACATAAGTATTGGCAACATCTATGCACCGACCTACGTTCTTTATGATGCATAGGGCACTAGACCACTTGTTGCAAAAGGTAGCAACAGACTCCCATGCATATAAAGGGCCAGGCAGAGGTTCTATAAAAGCTGGGGGTGCATGTCCAAGGGAGGCTCCCTGCTGCTTGCTTGTGAGGGCAGATGATTGAGAAACCAAATCAGCAGGCATGTGTGAATTGCTTCCAGGATTCAACACAGATTGTGCTGCCAGTGAAGGCAATCATTGAACTAGTTCTTCTGCAAGATCAGGGAGCTGTGCGAGACTCTACTTAGAGACCTCTTCCTCTTTCAGGCAAGAAAGCAGGAATAAGGGGTCTGTGATCGCTCCCCATTATAGCGTATTGCCACATACCAAAAGCATGGGTATCCCACAGCCTCACATACCTGATAGGGGCCCTGGTTGCAGCCGCAGTAGCTGCTCTCCATGGTGTAGCTTCTGGACACCCCCATCTCTCTCCATACCACTACCCGGGCTGTAGAAGCTCGGGATTTTTCCACAAGGAAGCTGCAGCTGCTCATCGTGAACGCTGGTGCTAGCTTATCAAGAATTTTGGGAAGAGTCTACAAGTAAAAAAAAGAAAAGAAAATTAGGATGAGTTGCAGGTGATTTGGGATATGCATCATGAAAAGTAACTCCTCAACATTTATTAAGCATTTCAGTACAGTCATGTGCTGCATAACAATTGTTCGGTCAACAACAGATGGCATATACAATGGTGATCTCATAAGATTAGTGCCACATGGCCTATATGACACCTATTTTTGTGTAAGTACATACTATGCTGTTCACACAAAGACAAAACCTCTCAGAACGTGTCCCCATTGTTAAGCAATGCATGATTGTATACCAAACACTTAATATATGCTACCACAAATCTTATATCAACCCTAAGAAATGGATACCCACTGTTTTTATCACTTTAAAGATGAGGAAACTGAGGCTTAGAAAAGTTAGAAAGAAATAGCTTAAGTCCAACTACAAAGTGGCTAGAATCGGATCCAGATGCCAACCTGGCCAGTTCCAAAGACCATGGTCTTTCAACTCCATCTTTCTGCATCGCTGTGGACTGAGGTTGCACACATATGTTCAGCCTCATACGTTACTAAGTTGAGCCCCACTGAAAGCCACAGATTGCACAGGGACTCGAAATTTAGAGTGACTCCACCCAGCCTCACTGTTTTCTAGCTCTAACAGTCAAACTAAGAACTGTTCACTTATCTCAGACACTCAGGCCATTAGCGATTCTTGAGCAGGAGCACATAAAAAGTTCACTGGTTTCCTGAGAGAGCATAACCACCAAAATGAACTTTTCAGTCTCATGCTCTAATCCACAGATCTGAAGTTAGGCCAATTATAAAATGCCTAAAACTCCATCCTCTCTGGGTCCATATATCCCACTTTCTAGGGTAGAAAAGCTTTATGTGAGACCACTTAATCTCCATTTAGAAGACGTCTTCTTCCCTTGCCACTCTGATTGACAGAGGGGGCTTCCAGACACTGGACTTCCCCTCTACCCCAAGGACTATGACTCAGAGTCAACACACCAAGTCTTTGGGTTAGCAGAAATACTACACTTAGACAGCCCAGAACTTTTGCGATATTAACAAGAAGGGTTCTCTCACTTCAGGGTTGACAGGATCTCCACAAACTAGTACATAATATAAAATTATATACATTAGATAACAATCCATGAAGCTTCAGACTTTGGAATGAACTGTAGGGAGAAGGTAGAGAAGCAGAGAATATATTGATGACAATATGAACTAGGGAATTATTTTTAAAGAAATGCAGTTTTGTTAATTTCTAGAACATTGAGCAAACCTCTTAATATCTCTGGTTCTTACTGTCCCCATGCTTAAAATTACTGTTAATTATATTAATATAAGAATTAATATAATTAATCATTTTACAAATGACATATGCTATATAAGGACATATTAACATAATTATTAATATAGTTTACCTCTAAGTTCCCACAGTCTCCAGACCCACAACATCACTCGAACAAGAGAGCTGAAATGCTAATGTTATCCTCGCTTGAGTTTCTACAATTGCCTCCTAATTAATTTCATCTATCCACTCTTGCCCCTCTCTCCCTGGGTTCTCTCACCTCATTTTCTTTCCTTCAAAATGCTCATCACAATTACAGTTAAATTGTTGTTTGTGTAATTAGTTGTTTATTTTCTATTTCCTCTGCAGCCCAGAAATTCCACGAGGGCAAGTCTGTGTCTTATTCACAGGAACATCTCTGCATGTGAAGCCATGCTGTTCATAGAGGGTACTCCACAATCATTTGCTGAAATAAATAGAATCTGCCAGTCCAGACCCTCAGGGGATGGCTTAAATAGACATAAATAGACTATTTATATAGACGGCAACTAAAGTGACTAAGAATACTTGAAAATGGTTTTAATTTATCAGTGTTTTCACTTGTTGCAAAAGTTTAATCTGACATCATTTAAGTGATCTCTCCTTTCTTACTTAAGTGACCCTGGTTTTCTTAGCTAGTATAGTCCTTGTCCAAAGGAACACATGTTCAAATTACAGTAGTCCCCCCTTAGTGAAGGTTTTGCTTTCCATGGTTTCAGTTACCCACGGTCAATCACGGTCCAAAAACATTAAGTGGAAAACTCCAGAAATAAACAATTTACCATAAGTTTTAAATTGTGCACTGTTCTGAGTAGTGTGATGAAATCTTGGTGCAGTCCCACTCTATCTTGCCCAGGACATGAATCATCTCTTTGTCCAGTGTATCCAGGCTGTATACACTACACACCCATTAGTCACTTAGTAGTTGACTTGGTTATCAGATCCAATGTTTCCGGTATCACAGTGCTTGTGTTCAAATAACCCTTATTTTACTTAATAATGGTTCCAAAGCACAGAGATGCAAAATATAGTGATGCTGGCAACTCGGATATGCCAAAGAGAAGCCAGAAAGTGCTTCCTTTAAGTGGAAAGGTGAAAGTTCTCAACTTCATAAGGAAAAAAAAATCATATGCTGAGGTGGCTAAAATCTACAGTAAGAATGACTCTTCTATCAGCAAAATGGTGAGGAAGGGAAAAGAAATTCATGCTAGTTTTGCTATCGTACCTCAAATATGTATGCATAAGAGAAATTATATTATATCTAGGGTTTCGAGCTTTCTGCAGTTTCAGGCATCCTCTAGGGGTCTTGCAACATAGCCCCGACAGACTGGGGGACCACTGTAATGGCATATCTTGGAGAGACTTACAAGCTATGATCCCTTCACTGGAGCCTGGAGGACGTGAGATTTACAAGGAGCAATCGGAGGACCCCCTTACATCTCCACAGGGACAGTTTATCCATTCATTAAATGATGGACTCCAAAACTATTGCATTTACAGCAAAGTCCTCAGTTGATTTCCCTTTTGATTTCACACAAATTGATCTATGCCAGAGCAAGCAATGAGGATCATGATAGCTGTGATAAGTGGAGATGGTTTGCTTGTCCTGTTTTGTTTTGTAAATGAACAGGAAATAGATGAAATCCACACGGGAACTGACCCACTGGAGCCTTGCTTCAGCGCTCCAGGATCTCCCAGCTTGGGTGGGGAAGAAAGGCTTGGGACATTCAAATCTTTCCTTGCCACTTTCTTGAAGTCTTTAAATGTAATCTAAGTTTCCAAAACTTGAAATTTATAATAAATATATTTTCACTAAATGCTTAAAATGTATTTTACATGCATTCACTCACTTAATCATCACAAGTCTTTGAGATAAGTTTTATTATTATTTTGTAATATAGAGACCAGAAAATTTGTCTTGTTTTCCAGTGTTCTCAGACCTAGTAAGGACAAAGCCAGAACTCAGATGTTCTGATTCAGATCACACTAGTTTAACCATTCAAAAATTGCTTCTTAAATGAGGTATTACTATCCCACAAGAGCGTCAAAGAGGTTTAAATACAATGTCCAATGTGTAATAGGCATCCAATATATCATAATATTATTTATAATTATTATAAACTTATCCCAAGATAAACTCACTTCTTTTTGTGGCTCTTTCTCATCTTCTAAAATTAACCTTCAGGATGCATAGTAAACAGTCTATTCAGGGGCAGAGAGATGCCACTGCAACCCAGAACCCTGCCTGGACACTAAATACTAAGCATCATACAATAAGGGTTAAAGGCAGGAAGAGCAGAGCCAGACAGACCACAGCTAAGAGTCCAGTTCCCCAGACACTTTCTGTGTGACTTCGGATAAGCTACTCAGCCTCTCTGAGACTTAGGCTCCTTATCTGTAAAATGGGAGAATTGGCATCTCCCTATTAGAGTTGTTTCAAGGAATAAATGAGATTATTTATATGTAGGGTGTGGGGGATCAGAATTAGCCACCCCAAAATGTGTCTTTTTGCCTTGCCTTGATTATTTTTAAGAACAAAAGACTCTGAAAGAAACTTTGACCTCTCCTTTAACTGCCTAAAAGAATTTAAGATAGAAGTCCTGTCCCCAGGACAGGCCATCGCCATAGATAACTCTGGGTATCCATAGACTTTGGGGAGGATCCTTGCTAAGCCCACTCTTATCAAAGTTCTGTCTACCAAACATTTGTTTTCCATCTCCATGTGAATGGCCTTCCTCCCCTTTGAAGACCCAAACCACCACCCCCAACATCCTCCTTTGTCTTTAGCTGAAGATGGTATTTAAGGCAGTGGCTTTGGCCATTCTAGTGAGTTGCTCAGTTTTCCTGAGTTTCTCCCATGTATACATGTGATAAAGCCTTACTTGATTTTCTCCTGTTATTCTGTCTCATGTCAATTTAATTCTTAGACCAGCCAGAAGGACCTAGAATGGGTAGAGGAATTGTCTTCCTCCCCTACAAGGGGATGACATAGGAGCTGGCACTTAGCATGGTCTCAACACAGACCTGCCAGGGATTTAGAGACTAGTCCAGAAGTGCAGCATGAGGATGAGTCTTCTGCTTGCTCTTTGACACTGAATCCCATCTGTTCAGGAGCAGTGGGGTTGGGTGCAGCCTTAAATTATGGAGAAAGGTTGTTCTGATTTAATAATTCTGGTTTCAAGGCATATTGTAGAAGCCTGAGCTGCATTTTAATTCCTTTGCTTTCTGCTGATTCTTCTCAGCCCTGTCTGGTTTCCTAAATTCAAAGATGGAGCCCTCAAAGATATGACTATGAACTCACTAGACAGCTCATAGCTCAGAGCTCATTTCCAGGGAGAAGTTCTCTCTACCAAGAAAATCCAAGGTCCTTGTGGTCAACCTGATAGAACTCAAAGTCTTCTCTTTTCTCTGGATTAAGCATGTGGCAAGGGCGTGGTTGGGCTGAGGGGTCAAAAATATGATACTTAATTCACACTATACAGTTTGACTTTGAACAAGTCATCTAACTTCTCTAACCCTGAGCTTTTTCATCAGAAAAGGGGGTAATAATAACCCCACCTTGAGTAAGGTAAGAAAGTGCTTAGCACCCTCAATAAATGTGTGCTATTACTATCATGATTATTGCACTGGTCAGAGTGGACTTTGCTGACGAGTAAAACTTTGGAAGAGAGGGAGGTCATTCTGCTTAAAC